AGCAGGGAGCCTGATGTGGGACTCGATCCCGGGACTCCAGGATCATGACCTGAGCCGAAGGCAGTCGCTTAACCAACTGAGCCACCCAGGCGCCCTCAAACCAGAATTTTTAAATGTTGGCAAATATTTGAAGGAAGTTATAAGACTAATGATAGGACTTCCAATTAGACATGAATATTATCCAAAAAATTTTAGAAATCCAAACATACATCTGGGGCAGCCAATGTATTATTTATATGAAGCCTGCAATCATTTTTATGAGTTCTTTATGGATCCATTAGTTTCCATAGAGATATTCAGAATCAAGTTGTTCATCTATTTGTGCTCAAAAGCTAGTGAGCTTCAGCATCACACATTATGGGTAATAAGACTTCATAAAAAAGAATTCTTGAGATAGCTATTCATTAGAAATCACCAAATGAATTCCTTGCCTAGGTGTCTACAGGATACAGAATTATTCTGGCTTTAATATTATTACTAAAGAGTTAGATGGAAAAAAATCTAAAAAGTCTGTCTAAACCAACAACTTGGTATCCTAAAAGAGAGGTACAAAATACTCAGGCAGAAAGATGTCTAGCTTCTAAAAAGCAATTTAAAGAGTTGCAGAAGAAAATTTTACCGAGCAAGATATTTTGAAATTATGGGGCACCTGGATGGCTCAGTAGGTTAAGCATCTGACTCTTGATTTCGGCTAAGGTCATGATCTCGGGGTCATGGGATTGAGCCCTGCGTCACACTCCACACTCAGCACAGAGTCTGCTTCTCCCTCTCCCTCTGCTCCTCCCCCACCCTTGTGCTTGCTGTCTCTCTCTAATAAACAAAATCTTTAATAAATAAATAAATACATACATACATAAAAAGAGTTCAAGTTTTACCATAATTTTTTGTTAGATGTTGCTTGGGTCCTAGCTAAGAGAGGAAGAATACTATACTGCATGGTAAAAAAAAAAGAAGTCAACTCTAAAAGTACTTTTCTTAATAAGTTAAAACAAGACGGAAATTTAGACCAATGTTATACACAAAAGTTATGAATTACTTACATAAGAGTTAAATCACTGTTACTGTGTGCCTCCAAAAAGTAATGAAAAAAGTAACTGATGTTATTACTGGCAGATAAAGACATATTTTCCTCTATCTACCACTTGGATATGATATGAAAACAAAAAAATATAGGCTTTTCTCCATGGAAAAGAAGGTAGACATTTAAAATACTTCATTTTTATGAATAAAAAGTATGAAAAAAATATGACCAGATCAAAAACTAGCTCTTGGGGCGCCTGGGTGCCTCAGTCAGGTAATGTCTGCCTTTGCCTCAGGTCATGATCCCAGGGTCCTGGGATCGAGCTCCGCATTGGGCTCCCTGGGCTTGTCCCGCTCCCTCTGCCCCCCGCCCCTTGCTCATGCTCAGTCTCTCTCTCAAATAAATAAAATCTTAACAACAACAACAAAAAAAAACAGGGTGCCTGGGTGGCTCAGTCGTTAATTGTCTGCCTTCGGCTCAGGTCATGATCCCAGGGTCCTGGGATCGAGCCCCGCATCTGGCTCCCTGCTCAGCGGGAAGCCCGCTTCTCCCTCTCCCACTCCCCGATTGTGTTCCCTCTCTCGCTGTGTCTCTCTCTCTCTGTGTCAAATAAATAAATAAAATCTTTAAAAAAACAAAACAAAACAAAAAACTAGTTCTTAAGCCTCATAAATGCAAGTACTTTTGGCTCAGGAAGGCTTTACCTTACCTTTAATAATTCAAAATAGTGCCAACAATGATAAACAGGCACCAGCATAAGGCGTGGAAGGACATAACGAACTGCCTCTTTAAACCCATCAGCAATGGACTGCAAAGCAAAAAGATATAACTGTATATCTCTGGTATCAAGAATATATAACAGCAATGCCTAACAGAAATAACTTTTAAAAATACAAGATACAGACTTAACCAAAACTATAACAGAAAGCATGTTCTACATGGAAATTAAAGTGCTGTAAAATGAAGGATTTTTTTCCTCTTGTAAGTTATTAAGTAGATATATACATTTCTTCATCTCTTATACAGCGAAAATAACTTTCACAGTAGTCCTATACAACTTTTCTTGAAAAGTTTTGGCTTCCCCCACCCTAAAAGAATTTTGAAAGCTATGTACCCTCCTGTATATTTTTACATGATCATTTGAAATGTTTTAAGTAGTTATGAAGGATGTACTTTTTGGGATACTGTGTATCGTAGATGTGATTTAAATATGTTTCACCAAACAATGATTAAATAAACTTCAGATTTAGCTTATTTATTTTATGAAAAATATCTGTCATATAACTACATTGACAAAGCCAATCTTCACTGTCAAAATAAAGAACTAGATCAGACAATTCCTCAGAAAGTCTAACTTCATTCTTAAAGTCAAACATACATGTTAATGTCACAGTCTGAAGTACAGGAAGCATCTGGAAGAATCTGTAACTGTTTCTAACATGTACCCCCCAGTATGAGAATTTCATAAGCCTCCCCTCTCCTTTATTCTAATGTCCAATGAATGATGAGGTCCTTTTTAAAAAAAATTAATATTCACCCTTGTAAATGATCTCACTTCTTAATTCCTAGATATGGCAAGATATAGTTAGATATGACATTTTAGCTACTAAGAGTTTTTATTTTTAACATAATTACCCTACCTCCTGCTTTTAAAAACCCTTTTGCTTTGCATTCAATGAACTCTCCTTCAAGAGCAAGTTTTTTGTTCCCACTGGCTGGGACCCTGCAGGATTTTATACCTTGGATCAATGCATAATGGGAAATTCAATATGGCAAGGCGTAATGTGTAAGAGAAATTGGAAAACAGAACACAAAAACAAACAAGGTCACAGCCAGGCTAGAAACTGATTCCCTTAAAGCTGTCTGTGCCCTTAATATCACCTGAAAAATCTTAGTGTATAGTTAGGGGTAGGTATATCATCCCAGTTTTGAAAACTAATCATCTGTAGAATAAACGATTTTCTAAAATTTATAAGGGATTTAAAAGTTACTCATATTGATTTTAAATGTCACTAGGTTGACTTATTTAAACTGGTACTTCTCCTCATCAGATAAATACAGACAACAGCAATATATGTGGAAAGAATCTCATATGATGCTTCTTAAAAGTATCCTCCCAGGCAAACTCTCCCATAATTCTCATAAAACTGTTAACTTAAGTTAAATTATAATTTGTTCAATGGACTTGCTACCATGATATGCTCAATCAACTTATTTTCCTCAAGATTAATTTCTTTCATCATTTGATTAATGAAAGAGAGTGATGTGAATCACCCTAGATATATTTTTATATATTTTATATATAATGCTTTAACTGGAACCAAGATGAAACTTTAAAATTAAGTCTATAAAGATCAGCTATATTGTTAATTGGCACTGAAACAGCTACTAAAGTGTATCCTAAAGTGCTAATGCAATGTGTATTTATAGTGTAAGAACTATAAATAAAACAAGTATTTTAATATACGCCAAATGTGCTTAGTGTATTCCCATTTGATTTTCACAAAAACCATAAGAGATATACATTATCATCATGTCACAAATGAGCAAACTAAGCCTCAGAGGTTAAGTGACTTGCTCAGGATAACACAATTACTGATTGACCCAAAGCCAGAAGTTCTGACTCCAAAGCTAATATTCTTAAAGTGTGCTATATATCTTCTAAAAAAGTTTTTTGTTTTATGTTTTTTTTAATGAAGCATTACCTTCTTCACCTTTCACTGAATGGATCTTTTTAAAGTTAATACAGTACAAATGAGTTTGGCGTGAAAAAGTGTTTTATTTAAGTCTTTAAATTTCACTAAATATCTGGAGCAATAGTTAAATAACTGGATCCTAAACATTCAAATCCCACAGTAATAATTCCTAATAAAATAGGAATGAAACAAACGTTGTGAATGCTTTTAATGCTTATGCAAAGATCTTATAGGTACACTGCCCTATTTAACTAATGTTTACTTTATGGTATATGAATATATAGGATTTAGCTTAAGAAAATTATTCCTTTGTTGAAGTAAATTTTGAAAATTAGGTGTAATTTTTATTCCAAGTTGACAAGTTATTGAATACAGCAGAAGATAATGGGAATTCACAGTAAAGAAGGCAGAGAGAAGATTTTAAGTTCATTTTTGAACACGTTATATTTGAAATGCTTGTGTGATATCCAAGTGAATTAGCTCAAAGGGCAGCTGGTTATATGAAAGTGTATATACACACACAGTGCTCATGAGAGTGTTATGGCTTGAAAATACAAATAGGAAGTCACCAGCATATAGGCAATAGCTAAAGCAGAATGTACAGATAAAGTCACTTATGGAGAGTACAGAGGGGCAGAAAAGAATGGGCTGATAATTGAAGCTGGAGAACATCTGCAATTATGGAGACTAAGGAGAAATTAAAGAAGATAAAAATTAGGAGGAAGTATCATGGGAGCCAAAAGGACAAGGAGGGGATGAACAAATACTACAGGCATAAATATGAAATCAAAATATCCATTGGACTTGGCAATTAAGTTCATTTTCAAGGGCAGTTTTTAGTGTATATCCTGATCAGAATACAGATGATAGCAGTTTGATAAAGAATGGTAAAAAGTAATATGAAGATAATTGGCTAAAAATGAAAAGGGGAACAACAGCTAGAGTGAAGAAAGTTTTGTTTATTTATCTGCTTGTTTTAGGACAATAAAGGCCATATTCATATGCTAAGGGAGAAGAGCTGGTCTAGATGCAGGATGTCTCTACAGCAGTAAGTAGTCAAGGATCAATGCCAAGGTAACCTTTGTTAAGTGTTGAAAGGGTAAAAATGTAATTCTGTCTCTCCACTTTCTTTCATTTTATCTAACTGCATTACTGAACCAATTAATTTGCATAGTCCCCATTAATATATCTCCTTTAAATTACAGGCCTGGTAGAGAAGTCAGTATGGGTATCACATGAGGATATTCTCCACTCTTTATGATTCCTGTTCCAGCTCCTGCAGGGAATAAGATCCTGAAAGAGCTCTGCATATTATTGCTATATCCCAGATCTAGAATGTGCCAGATTCTTGTAGTCACTCAGTATGTGTAATAATATTCTATAAAATATTTCTACATTAAGGACAGATTGAAAGAACTTGAGACAAAAAAGAGAAGACAATCTAAAACAAGCTTACAATGAACAGATTTTGAAGGACTGGTGAATTAGTTCCTTATGTGCTTTATGAAAGGGTTCCAGAACTTACAAATATTTGAAGAATAAGATGGTGAAATATTTCTTTGGTTGCTTTATAAAAACAAAAAAAAACAAAAAACAAACATTCAATTTAAGTTTACCTGAAAGTGTAGAGCCACCGCAGGTCTGGCCATCAACTTACTGAAATGTTCATTAAATTTTGGAGAAAGAATGTCCTGTGATAACGTTTCATAAGGATCAAATGCTTGCTCCTATTTTTTTAAAAAGGAGAACGTGTTAGGTTTAAAAGAACATCTTTTCTACTAATATGGCAGATTATTTAATAGTAAATTTTTATTTAAGTTCTCAACTACGTTTCAGAACTTTTTGCTCTCACTTTTAGGGGTCAAACAATAACTAGGAAATTTTTTTAAATGTATGTAATGATCTTGAGTGATACATGGCAAGGTCTTAAAATAGGTCACTGAATTTGTGGTCATAAGTTATCAAGCTATTAAAATGCTTATGCACATTTATTCCCAGTAAATGAAGAGTATTTATTAGTAAAACAAGCTTGGGATTTGAAATTTCAGTTAGGCTTACCTAGGTTAAAATGAGTTTATACCTAAGATACTCTCCAAGGAAGCAAAACCTGGTACCACTGTTTCATCCACTCTACACTTTTCAAAATTAGAAACAGAAAGGAAAGACTAATATATAGTAAAATAACAAAGCAGAAATTGCCCATATTTTGTACGATGTTTATATTTCAATAAATTCCTATTACTTGACAATAATCAATATCCCCAATGTTTAGTTACAATTAAGAGTCCTGTTTCATTTTTGTATTTTAAAAATACAGTATGTTTTGGGGCGCCTGGGTGGCTCAGCCGTTAGGGTGGGGGTCCTGGGATTGAGCCCCACATCGGGCTCCCTGCTCAGCGGGAAGCCTGCTTCTCCCTCTTCTACTCCCCCTAATTGTGTTCCCTCTCTTGCTGTGTCTCTTTCTGTCAAATAAGTAAAATCTTAAAAAAAAAAAAATACAATATGTTTTTCAGAAAATAACAAGTATTGGTGAGGATAAGAGAAACTGAAATCCTCATCCATTGCGAGTGGGAATATAAAATACTGTAGCCCCTGTGGAAAACAGTTTGGCAGTTCCTCAAAAAGTGAAACAAAGAATTACCCCATGACCCAGCAATCCACTACTGGATATATACCCAAAAGAATTGAAAATAGAGACTCAAACAGATACTTGTATGCCAATGTTCACTGCAGCATTATTCACAATAGCCAAAAGATGGAAACACCATGTGTCCATCATCAAATAAATGGATAAACAAAACATGATACATATATACAATGGAATATTACTCAGCCATAGAAAGGGATGGGGTTCTGATACATGCTATAATGGATGACCCCTGAAAACATGTTAAGTGAAATAAGCAGACACAAAAGAATATTGCTATGATTCCACTTATATCAAGTATCTAGGATCAGCAAATTCATGTTGACAGAAAGTAGATTAGAGGTTACCAGGGGTTAGGAGGGAGGGAAGAATAGGGAGTCACTGCTTAGTGAGTACAGAGTTTCTGTTTGGGGTGATAAAAAGATTTTAAAAAAGACAGCAGTGATGGTTGTATAATACTGTGAATTTGATTAATGCCACTGAATTATACACTTAAAAATGGTTAAAATGGCAAATCTTAATGTATATTTTACCACAATAACAAAATAAAAATTAGAAAATACATTGTTTTTTTTTTTTTT